CAGGTTCCGGGCAGCATGAGTTGATAAATCTTTAAAGGGCAGGCTCGAACGTGTTGGCCCGATACTGCAGTCCAATAGTTTCCGGAGGTCTCAGAGCAACAAGAAATTCGGGAGCCACTTTGGCAGTTTACTTGAACCCCCCAGAAATATTTCTTGATTAGGAGTGAGGTTTGGAGAAGGCTTCGCAGTGACTCGACTAAAATGAAAGAGGCCAGACTGGCAAGATTCATTCTGATGCTCATCGGGAAGTCATCTGCGTGATTGCAGTCACTAGCCGTGCCCGGGTCCCGACACTAATGCGAAAGGGAGTGGCATCTTTCACTCATCGGACTTCGGCCACGACTGTGGCCGGTACTCGCAATCCTTGTGCTGTGGCCAGACCAATCCTTTTGGATCACACGCCGTCCGCGGTGTATTTCTGCAGCTTGGCTGAGGGGTAGCTGCTCACGGAGCGTCTCGTGGAGGCTCTGAGATGTGGTAGGGAGCTGCGCGCGAGGAGTGTTTCGGAGGATCCTAGGTGTGGCAATCTAATGTGCACGAGGCATGGCCTCGAGCATTCGGGGATGTGGCTAGCGGCTAGCTAAGCGGGAGACCCTAGAGCAGAGAACCGGAATATCGCCACATATCCCTCGTGCTGAGCTCGAGCTGTTTGCAACAGAACATGGGCAGGTGCCTTGTGCGATTTGACCTTGCCACCTGTCGATGTTTGTGCACGAAGCTCCAGAAACAGATGCGGCTGTGTTGGTTGAGGCATGATGCGTGTAGAGGCATTTGCGCAAACAGCGTCAAATCCGTGACCAGCCAGTACGCTGACTCATTTGACGCATTGTGGTAGCCGTGCATGTTGGTTGGCGGCTGTGTATCTCATTTTTCCCGGAGACATCATCACAAGATGGGGTCTCGAAAACGAGCGCAGCAATGGCGTCAGCTGGCGCGGACTGGTTGCGTCTGTTGTCAGCTGCTGGGCTTGGCGTCCTCGTGGCCTTGTCGCTGCCAAGTTTCCTGCGCCCTTTCAGCTGGGGCATGTTGGTGCGTTGCTGCGGCCGCTGCTAGACTGCTAGACGCTGCGCTTGCATTTTGTGCAATGCGTGTCGTGTCGTGCTATGCATGCAAGGGGCTCGAAAGCTATGATGACATCGCCGTGGTTGGAACTGAGCGAAAACATCTGCTAAACTAATCCGCGCGGCTGGGTGAGACTTGCTACACATGTTGCTTTTTCGTCTGCTCTCATGTAATCTTCCCCAGCGTGGGCTTGGTGGCAAGGCTGCCCAAAACAAAGGCGCCTGGCGCTGCGTCGACAGATCTTTCCTCCGGTGGCGTGGTTCTCGCGGGGTCGCCAACCTGGGCGAAGTGGGTGCAGACCCTGAACGTGCACAGAGGGTGCTGCCACGTCCGCGCCACAGGCGTGCTCCACAGCCATACAAGCCGCACGCAAGTTTTCGCATTGATGCTAAAGGGAACAGTGGATTTGCAGTATGTAGGGCGCCATGTGGCGTTGAAGTGTCGAATGTTCAGCGTTGGTGCATTGTGGAGTGTAGAGTGTAGAGTGTGCAGTTCGAGGTGAGGAGTTTGGAGTGTCGAGGTACATAGATCACGTTGCTCCGGTGTCTGCGATTCAGCCGGATATGCCTTGTATAATTCTTCCTTGAATTGTCCTGACATGGGCTGGACCACGATGCGGTGGTGCGACAATAATCTCCAACATATCCTGCTCTGGTGGCGGTTAAAACCGGGCCCAGCCAGAGGTTGCAACATCTACGTCATTAAGAGACGTGTGAGCAGACGGGCGCATGGGCATCTTGTTTTTCAGAAGGGTCTTCCAATCAGATTCATTTTGGAAGTTTGCCTTAGGGCTCCTCGTTCCAAGAAGGAGTCGAAGAGGTTGGAGTAAGGTTCTTGGTTTCTTCTTGATCGCCGCGGGCTTGTCGACGTTGGGCTACTGCCGTGCAGCCCGTGCACTGATACGAATGCTAAGGGCAAACGTCGTTCTGGACAACATGTACAATGCCAAGCTGTGCGATTTTGGGACGTCTCAGCGAGAACTTCAGACTGCTTCAGCCAGCTTGGATAAAAACTTCCCGCTCCGCGCGCTGATTTGCTGAGGTTCATGGTCGACGACTTCATCGAGCCATGCGGAGGCACCCTTCCGTATTTGGCGTGGGTGGCCTATAACGTCTCTAGACTCGTTGCAGTAGGTAGGTGCTGTCCGGGGTCTCAGAGCGCAACATTTGATATTCCGAGGCCAGAAAGTGCCCCCGTGTTTCGTGGAGAGACGGTGAAGGTGACAGAGAAGGCCGCAGCTTTGTAGGTTTCGGGGCGACGTGCTGCTGGGAGAGCTTTGTGCGACTGTGTTCGCGCCATGGAGGCGGATGTGTGGTCGCTGGGCAACTGCCTTGGCTGCACCACATTGCTGTCCAGCCATTTCATTTGTTATGGTCGTATACACCACGAGGCTGCGTGCTCAATGAAGCACTCGGGGGGCCACGGCCGCATGCCGAGTGCCGAAACCCGGAGCAGCTCATCGCCAAGGCTTTATACGCGTGTTGTCGTACGGTCGTACCGGGGTCTTCCACGCAGGTGGTTGAGCGACGGCTGCCCCCAACACTCCCAGAGTTCCTTCCGGCGCGAACGGTCGCCGCACTGGCGTGATTCCAAAAGTATTCAAAGGTCCTTCTGTTTTTGTCTTCGAGTTTAAGCACGGGCAGGTCTGCCAGTGCCTCATCGTGGATGCATTGTCCAGGGCTGGGGCCCGCACTGTCCAGGGCCTAGGAATAGAAACGCAGATCATGGGATCTGACTGCTCCATGCATCTGATTTTGGAAACGCCTGGCATTAGTATAGGTGCTTTCCGGCATCCGCCGCTGGGACTTTACAGGCGCCGGCAAGTCAAGGAAAAGCATGTTGTGTTGCAAGGTACCATTCCAAGACCATTGGTAGGCAGACTTCGGGGAGCTTCGTCGATTCGCGGGTTTTTCAGCCAGGCGACGGTGCAAGGGCACTTCGGCGAGGTGCCCGGCAGCCTGGACGAAGCCGTCAAGCCCTTAGAGTTGCAAGGATTTCAGATCTTCAGAGTTTCGATATTCAGCCACGCGAAACGTAAGACTTTGAGAGCGCTCCTGAATGTGAGGTTGAAGTCATTTTCGAGCTCGACGAGTGCGAGTGGGAGGTTCCGGATCCAGGCTTTGCACCACAAGTAGCAAAAAGAACAACAAAGCCTAAGGCCAATGTGCTCCTATTCGCATGCGATCACCGTTTCGTGGAGGGCTCAGCTCTCTGCGTTGGGCTGCAGCTGCCGGTGTGCAAGTGCCAAAATTCCCAGTCACACTCTCCAATTCGGTTTGCCTGTTGCTTGGAAGCACTTTCGGAGACATTCGCCCCTTCCTTCCCACCCGACACCACAGAAGAACACAACACAGAAGGATATGCTTTAACCACCTCGGCGATTGCATTTGCAGGAAGACATAGCACAATGTTGCATGACTTGCCTTGTTCAGACTGACATGCAATTAGACACCGATGCTGCAGTTGCGGACCCAACAAATGTCAAAGAGCAGTAGTGGCTGGGCTTCCACAGCAGGGACTCTCAACAAGTGGGTGGGCATTGACCTGGGGCGACATGAGGACACCGCGATTTCTCCTTGGAAAATGCTGGTCTCTCAAGCTCCGCAGAGCATCATGCAGAGTTGCTGTTCCGAAGTTTCGATGAAGGTGTTGCTCCAAAGTGGGAGTTGTGTACTCTGCGATTTCGGCCAGGCCTTGTGCTGCAAAGCTCATTTGTCAGTTCCAATAGCAGACATGCTTAAAATAAGCATTTTGGAATATCTTTGCAGGCTGTGCCATTGAAACGGCCAGATGGATCTGTGCTGCGGTGGAGTGCGGTTGCTCAGGTACTTTGAAGCAGCGGGGAAGGACATGTACCGTGCCCCGGAGATGAATTCTCCAGAAGCTCAGGCCTGTTGGAGGTCCGCTGGTGGCCAGGTGTGTGGACTTGCTGTTTTGGTGCAGGTAATATGCCCGGACACCAAAGCTTGCAACCCGGCGCTGGCACCCAACCAAGTCCGCTTGTGATGTAGCTTTTGGACCAGGATTTGTCTACCATCCAGCGTCCAGCACGCGCACGCTGCACTAGACCCAGCCATCTCTTACCGGCATGACCGCGGCAATGAGCACGGGAAGGTGCAACCATGTGCAACGTGCAAGAAGATGATGTGCAGCTCTTCGGCAGAAACACAGGCAACCGCACCAGAGGCTGTAGGTTCAGCACCGCTTGCGCCACACACTACACCACGACCACAAGAGCAGGATACACTTGCAGCTACCACTGAGATTGCGCAGGCTGCAGAAAAAACGGCTGCAGGCGTGGTGCCACCCTTCACCACCGTCTGACAAGAAAGCCGTCAAGGAGTTGACAGTGCACGGTGTAATCACACCACCAGATGAACAGCAGGAAGTTGCAAGTCATGCAGCTGCAGAAGCAACGGCGGCAGGCACACAGCCACTTTTACCACGCTCTGCCAATCAAGCCGTCCAGGGTGTCACAATGCACTGCGCGGTGACACCACCAGATGAACAGCCGGAAGTTGCAAGTCATGCAGCTGCAGAAGCAACGGCGGCAGGCACAGAGCCACTTTTGCCACGCTCTGACTTACGCAAGTCTCGAACAAGCAGACACATGGAGCATGACACGGACGGCCCATGTCCCTCGAAAAAGTGCTGCAGTGGGGCGCGCGTGTGTTTCCCGTTGATATCTGCTGATGGTGAGTGCAGAAACTGTGTCGGCTTCATGAAACAACCTCCTCATCGGGATCGACGTGGCTCGAACCAGCATTGACAACATTCAATGTTGCCGAAATTCCTGGCATCAGATGCTTCAACACCCAATCCTTGGCCCACAAATTTTCGTAGTAGCCAACCCGAATCTCATGCCTTCAGGCTTGCACAACAACCCGAAAACGATCGCACTGACCAAGTACACGTATGAGCAAGCCACCAACAGCTAGATGACGTTGAATGTCAGCAGCAGGACGGGCGGAAGTGAGGGAAGTTCTCAGGTTGAGGCAGTTTGAGTTGGAAGTTGTTAGGAAGTTTCTACGTCGGAACTTTCTCAGGAGGTCTGCACCGGCTGATTGCGAACCATACGAAGGCACGGCTTCGGTCGTGTGGCGTACTACAGAAGGATGTCACTTGAATCCGAGGACACCCTGGCCTACGTTGTGGGGTAGACATTTCGCTTTTGCCATGGCTGCCTGGGGCCCTGGCAGCATGGGCTTCGGCACAAGTCGTGTTTCTCATTTGGCGAAGTGATTCTGCTGGGCTTTGAGGTCGGTTAGCTCAGTCTCCTCCTGGTTCGCATCCGCGAAGCCAGCAGGGGTGCTGCTCTCGAGCACCTCATCGGCATTTTCGCATTTCGCTCTTGCGCGCTGGACATGCTGTGCATGCTGTTGACAGGCTTGGCACTGGACCCCACGCTGACCTTGCCGATTCTGCCCTGGTCTTGGCTGTTGTCAGCCGGCGTTTCTGTGCGTCCATGCTGCATTCTGAATTGCCTTGCTCAGGGCAGGGCTTGGCCTCGTGGGTGCGTCATTCTTCGCGCTGAATCAGGCCGTCGGCTGGGTTCTGGCATGGATGTCAGAGCAAATAGAGACAAGAGCATGGTTTCAGCAGCAATCTGTGTTGCCAGACATGGCTTGGTTGTGCGAGCCCATGATAGACTCTTCAAATTCGACTGGCTTCAGTCTGTACTGGCTGAGCACATCGAATATCGCAGGCCGTTTTGATTGAGATGCTCGTTGGAACTCTCGCCACGGCTTGTCAAGCTGTGGGTGCACCATACCAATTCAGCTGAACCCGATTGCTTGTCACTGTCGCAAGGTCTCATTTCGCATGACTTCACTGTTTTGATGCCGATGGCACCTTGTTAGCCACCTGTGTTCGGTGCAATTCCTGCACGTGCGCCCACTCTGCTCACAAAGACTTGGGGCACGGGGTCTACACAACGGCGTGGAGTAGAAGCATACCTTCATTTTGAGTTGGGCATAGGTTCGCAATCTTCAGGGTCTATGTCTAGAGTCTAGTGCTAGGCCCGCTGTAGGGGTTGAGGGTTCAGTGATTCAGGGCTCAGGGTCTCAGACTTCCGAAGAAAGCAAACACCGATTCAGGTGGCTGCGGAAAATGACGACAGCGCTCAGGCGCCTGCAGGGAGGAGGGGGTGCAAGTGTCCAGACATGTCCAGACGAAGTAGTCAGATGTCCAGTCCATTACAAATCTAGACAGACTTAGACCCACAGGCCCTAAGGTGATAGTGCTCCTTGCCCAAGCAAGAACTGTCATCCGCTGCTCATATGTCGCACACATGCAAGGCCAGTCCCATCAAGAGAAAGCTGGACGTCACCCAGCCAAGACCCTAGGTAACTTATGCATGTTGACGCGATGGACAAATTTCAAGCGCCGTGCTGGCGGTCCGAACAGCACAGGCACCACAAGCCTGGATGTACAGCGATAGATTTCCAACTCCAGCTGTGTGGTGCGCTGTCATGCGCGATCTATATCTCGTCATATAGGCAAAGATGCAGCAAGCGTCAGAAGGCGATTGTTCGCGCCCCAGCCTGGAAGTGTGTGTGCTGGGCATGGCCTTGCTTGAGCCCTGGGCCACAGATTCTACTCGATGAGCTAGGGCAGCCGCCGCCTCAGAGCAATCCAAAGCTCAAAAACCATAACCATAGCTCTGAGTAGATGTGGGCAGCGAGATGAGTTTGAGGCTCACCATGATCGGTTCCGGGGCCTGTGGAATGCTGCAACGAGGAGTGCTGTGCGGCCGTGAGGCGCGCAAACCGCAAACTCCTTGATGCTCAATGCTCATGCTTGCTGACTTGGTGGTAGGTGGCAGTGAAGCGACTTCGCGAGACCGATGAGAAGTCGCTTCAAGAACTTCAACGGGAGGTCGCAGCGCTTCGTTGCGGGGGCCTCGGAGACCTGTGACAGTTTAGGAAGATGGGAGACGTTCTGCCTTGGGCAGCTCTTCCTGACGCAAGATCATGATTAGGCAGATAAGGATGAGGAAAGCCAGCATGAAAGTTCAGGGCTGCATTGGAGCCGCGGCAAGCTTGTGCATTTTGGCACGTCGTACACGCTGGTCCAGGTTTGCAACACTCGTGCGTGGTCGCCTTTGTCGGCGAGTGAGTGTCTCAATACTGATCTTCGGACTTAATGTTGCCGCGCTGCCTCGGATGGCGCTGTTTGTTCAGGTGCAGGTACGGCGTCATCACAGAGCCGGGTGCCCGGTTTCCCTTTCGCAGCGCATTTAGTGGCACTATCGGAGCAGATGTGCAGGTTGATGCCGAAGGGCTCACTGTCCCATCACCTGCATGAGGTGGCTTGGCGATGAATTGGTCCCAGTAGATGGTCAGAGTGATGACTGAATCCACATGCAGGCCAAAACATTTATGCGGCTGATGCTTCGGGCGAAGATCGCAGAGCAGGCCTCTAACGCACGTGTGAAGTGAAGGGAAAGTGCCATCAGGCGTGTGAGCATTGGTTCTAAGTCGGCCCCGGCCGCCTTATGGGCAGGCGTACGCAATACTCACATATGTTGCCACACATTGGCAGCACTTGCATTCTGAATTAGGCCTGTAGACACGCATATGTAGCTCCACTCGTCCGCCGTTGATGGCTGCGCATAGGCCCACGTTCGTTCCCCCTAGATCTTTGAAACCTGGAGCAGTTTGTGGAAAGCTGGCAGGTGTGTCTTCAAGTAATTATGTGATGCCCGTTTGCAACACAGTGCGCTGTTGGTCTGGAGCCAGGTGTGCGCAGGCGTAGAATACCTTCATTCACATTCTCCCCGGATCGTTCATGGGGACTTGAAGCCGTGCTGCGCCCAGTTTTGCTTACTTGTCAGGGACATGCAACATGTTATTTGTAAGCGCAGCAGGTTCCAGGCAGCATGAGTTGATAAATCGAAGGGGCAGGCTCGAACGTGTTGGCCCGATACTGCAGTCCAATAATTTCCGGAGGTCTCAGAGCAACAAGAAATTCGGGAGCCACTTTGGCAGTTTACTTGAACCCCCCAGAAATATTTCTTGATTAGGAGTGAGGTTTGGAAAAGGCTTCGCAGTGACTCGACTAAAATGAAAGAGGCCAGACTGGCAAGATTCATTCTGATGCTCATCGGGAAGTCATCTGCGTGATTGCAGTCACTAGCCGTGCCCGGGTCCCGACACTAATGCGAAAGGGAGTGGCATCTTTCACTCATCGGACTTCGGCCACGACTGTGGCCGGTACTCGCAATCCTTGTGCTGTGGCCAGACCAATCCTTTTGGAACGCCGTCCGCGGTGTATTTCTGCAGCTTGGCTGAGGGGTAGCTGCTCACGGAGCGTCTCGTGGAGGCTCTGAGATGTGGTAGGGAGCTGCGCGCGAGGAGTGTTTCGGAGGATCCTAGGTGTGGCAATCTAATGTGCACGAGGCATGGCCTCGAGCATTCGGGGATGTGGCTAGCGGCTAGCTAAGCGGGAGACCCTAGAGCAGAGCACCGGAATGTCGCCACATATCCCTCGTGCTGAGCTCGAGCTGTTTGCAACAGAACATGGGCAGGTGCCTTGTGCGATTTGACCTTGCCACCTGTCGATGTTTGTGCACGAAGCTCCAGAAACAGATGCGGCTGTGTTGGTTGAGGCATGATGCGTGTAGAGGCATTTGCGCAAACAGCGTCAAATCCGTGACCAGCCAGTACGCTGACTCATTTGACGCATTGTGGTAGCCGTGCATGTTGGTTGGCGGCTGTGTATCTCATTTTTCCCGGAGACATCATCACAAGATGGGGTCTCGAAAACGAGCGCAGCAATGGCGTCAGCTGGCGCGGACTGGTTGCGTCTGTTGTCAGCTGCTGGGCTTGGCGTCCTCGTGGCCTTGTCGCTGCCAAGTTTCCTGCGCCCTTTCAGCTGGGGCATGTTGGTGCGTTGCTGCGGCCGCTGCTAGACTGCTAGACGCTGCGCTTGCATTTTGTGCAATGCGTGTCGTGTCGTGCTATGCATGCAAGGGGCTCGAAAGCTATGATGACATCGCCGTGGTTGGAACTGAGCGAAAACATCTGCTAAACTAATCCGCGCGGCTGGGTGAGACTTGCTACACATGTTGCTTTTTCGTCTGCTCTCATGTAATCTTCCCCAGCGTGGGCTTGGTGGCAAGGCTGCCCAAAACAAAGGCGCCTGGCGCTGCGTCGACAGATCTTTCCTCCGGTGGCGTGGTTCTCGCGGGGTCGCCAACCTGGGCGAAGTGGGTGCAGACCCTGAACGTGCACAGAGGGTGCTGCCACGTCCGCGCCACAGGCGTGCTCCACAGCCATACAAGCCGCACGCAAGTTTTCGCATTGATGCTAAAGGGAACAGTGGATTTGCAGTACGTAGGGCGCCATGTGGCGTTGAAGTGTCGAATGTTCAGCGTTGGTGCATTGTGGAGTGTAGAGTGTAGAGTGTGCAGTTCGAGGTGAGGAGTTTGGAGTGTCGAGGTACATAGATCACGTTGCTCCGGTGTCTGCGATTCAGCCGGATATGCCTTGTATAATTCTTCCTTGAATTGTCCTGACATGGGCTGGACCACGATGCGGTGGTGCGACAATAATCTCCAACATATCCTGCTCTGGTGGCGGTTAAAACCGGGCCCAGCCAGAGGTTGCAACATCTACGTCATTAAGAGACGTGTGAGCAGACGGGCGCATGGGCATCTTGTTTTTCAGAAGGGTCTTCCAATCAGATTCATTTTGGAAGTTTGCCTTAGGGCTCCTTGTTCCAAGAAGGAGTCGAAGAGGTTGGAGTAAGGTTCTTGGTTTCTTCTTGATCGCCGCGGGCTTGTCGACGTTGGGCTACTGCCGTGCAGCCCGTGCACTGATACGAATGCTAAGGGCAAACGTCGTTCTGGACAACATGTACAATGCCAAGCTGTGCGATTTTGGGACGTCTCAGCGAGAACTTCAGACTGCTTCAGCCAGCTTGGATAAAAACTTCCCGCTCCGCGCGCTGATTTGCTGAGGTTCATGGTCGACGACTTCATCGAGCCATGCGGAGGCACCCTTCCGTATTTGGCGTGGGTGGCCTATAACGTCTCTAGACTCGTTGCAGTAGGTAGGTGCTGTCCGGGGTCTCAGAGCGCAACATTTGATATTCCGAGGCCAGAAAGTGCCCCCGTGTTTCGTGGAGAGACGGTGAAGGTGACAGAGAAGGCCGCAGCTTTGTAGGTTTCGGGGCGACGTGCTGCTGGGAGAGCTTTGTGCGACTGTGTTCGCGCCATGGAGGCGGATGTGTGGTCGCTGGGCAACTGCCTTGGCTGCACCACATTGCTGTCCAGCCATTTCATTTGCTATGGTCGTATACACCACGAGGCTGCGTGCTCAATGAAGCACTCGGGGGGCCACGGCCGCATGCCGAGTGCCGAAACCCGGAGCAGCTCATCGCCAAGGCTTTATACGCGTGTTGTCGTACGGTCGCACCGGGGTCTTCCACGCAGGTGGTTGAGCGACGGCTGCCCCCAACACTCCCAGAGTTCCTTCCGGCGCGAACGGTCGCCGCACTGGCGTGATTCCAACAGTATTCAAAGGTCCTTCTGTTTTTGTCTTCGAGTTTAAGCACGGGCAGGTCTGCCAGTGCCTCATCGTGGATGCATTGTCCAGGGCTGGGGCCCGCACTGTCCAGGGCCTAGGAATAGAAACGCAGATCATGGGATCTGACTGCTCCATGCATCTGATTTTGGAAACGCCTGGCATTAGTATAGGTGCTTTCCGGCATCCGCCGCTGGGACTTTACAGGCGCCGGCAAGTCAAGGAAAAGCATGTTGTGTTGCAAGGTACCATTCCAAGACCATTGGTAGGCAGACTTCGGGGAGCTTCGTCGATTCGCGGGATTTTCAGCCAGGCGACGGTGCAAGGGCACTTCGGCGAGGTGCCCGGCAGCCTGGACGAAGCCGTCAAGCCCTTAGAGTTGCAAGGATTTCAGATCTTCAGAGTTTCGATATTCAGCCACGCGAAACGTAAGACTTTGAGAGCGCTCCTGAATGTGAGGTTGAAGTCATTTTCGAGCTCGACGAGTGCGAGTGGGAGGTTCCGGATCCAGGCTTTGCACCGCAAGTAGCAAAAAGAACAACAAAGCCTAAGGCCAATGTGCTCCTAATCGCATGCGATCACCGTTTCGTGGAGGGCTCAGCTCTCTGCGTTGGGCTGCAGCTGCCGGTGTGCAAGTGCCAAAATTCCCAGTCACACTCTCCAATTCGGTTTGCCTGTTGCTTGGAAGCACTTTCGGAGACATTCGCCCCTTCCTTCCCACCCGACACCACAGAAGAACACAACACAGAAGGATATGCTTTAACCACCTCGGCGTTTGCATTTGCAGGAAGACATAGCACAATGTTGCATGACTTGCCTTGTTCAGACTGACATGCAATTAGACACCGATGCTGCAGTTGCGGACCCAACAAATGTCAAAGAGCAGTAGTGGCTGGGCTTCCACAGCAGGGACTCTCAACAAGTGGGTGGGCATTGACCTGGGGCGACATGAGGACACCGCGATTTCTCCTTGGAAAATGCTGGTCTCTCAAGCTCCGCAGAGCATCATGCAGAGTTGCTGTTCCGAAGTTTCGATGAAGGTGTTGCTCCAAAGTGGGAGTTGTGTACTCTGCGATTTCGGCCAGGCCTTGTGCTGCAAAGCTCATTTGTCAGTTCCAATAGCAGACATGCTTAAAATAAGCATTTTGGAATATCTTTGCAGGCTGTGCCATTGAAACGGCCAGATGGATCTGTGCTGCGGTGGAGTGCGGTTGCTCAGGTACTTTGAAGCAGCGGGGAAGGACATGTACCGTGCCCCGGAGATGAATTCTCCAGAAGCTCAGGCCTGTTGGAGGTCCGCTGGTGGCCAGGTGTGTGGACTTGCTGTTTTGGTGCAGGTGATATGCCCGGACACCAAAGCTTGCAACCCGGCGCTGGCACCCAACCAAGTCCGCTTGTGATGTAGCTTTTGGACCAGGATTTGTCTACCATCCAGCGTCCAGCACGCGCACGCTGCACTAGACCCAGCCATCTCTTACCGGCATGACCGCGGCAATGAGCACGGGAAGGTGCAACCATGTGCAACGTGCAAGAAGATGATGTGCAGCTCTTCGGCAGAAACACAGGCAACCGCACCAGAGGCTGTAGGTTCAGCACCGCTTGCGCCACACACTACACCACGACCACAAGAGCAGGATACACTTGCAGCTACCACTGAGATTGCGCAGGCTGCAGAAAAAACGGCTGCAGGCGTGGTGCCACCCTTCACCACCGTCTGACAAGAAAGCCGTCAAGGAGTTGACAGTGCACGGTGTAATCACACCACCAGATGAACAGCAGGAAGTTGCAAGTCATGCAGCTGCAGAAGCAACGGCGGCAGGCACACAGCCACTTTTACCACGCTCTGCCAATCAAGCCGTCCAGGGTGTCACAATGCACTGCGCGGTGACACCACCAGATGAACAGCCGGAAGTTGCAAGTCATGCAGCTGCAGAAGCAACGGCGGCAGGCACAGAGCCACTTTTGCCACGCTCTGACTTACGCAAGTCTCGAACAAGCAGACACATGGAGCATGACACGGACGGCCCATGTCCCTCGAAAAAGTGCTGCAGTGGGGCGCGCGTGTGTTTCCCGTTGATATCTGCTGATGGTGAGTGCAGAATCTGTGTCGGCTTCAAAAAATAACCTCCTCATCGGGATCGACGTGGCTCGAACCAGCATTAACAACTTTCAATGTTGCCGAAATTCCTGGCTTCAGATGCTTCAACACCCAATCCTTGGCCCACAAATTTTCGTAGTAGCCAACCCGAATCTCATGCCTTCAGGCTTGCACAACAACCCGAAAACGATCGCACTGACCAAGTACACGTATGAGCAAGCCACCAACAGCTAGATGACGTTGAATGTCAGCAGCAGGACGGGCGGAAGTGAGGGAAGTTCTCAGGTTGAGGCAGTTTGAGTTGGAAGTTGTTAGGAAGTTTCTACGTCGGAACTTTCTCAGGAGGTCTGCACCGGCTGATTGCGAACCATACGAAGGCACGGCTTCGGTCGTGTGGCGTACTACAGAAGGATGTCACTTGAATCCGAGGACACCCTGGCCTACGTTGTGGGGTAGACATTTCGCTTTTGCCATGGCTGCCTGGGGCCCTGGCAGCATGGGCTTCGGCACAAGTCGTGTTTCTCATTTGGCGAAGTGATTCTGCTGGGCTTTGAGGTCGGTTAGCTCAGTCTCCTCCTGGTTCGCATCCGCGAAGCCAGCAGGGGTGCTGCTCTCGAGCACCTCATCGGCATTTTCGCATTTCGCTCTTGCGCGCTGGACATGCTGTGCATGCTGTTGACAGGCTTGGCACTGGACCCCACGCTGACCTTGCCGATTCTGCCCTGGTCTTGGCTGTTGTCAGCCGGCGTTTCTGTGCGTCCATGCTGCATTCTGAATTGCCTTGCTCAGGGCAGGGCTTGGCCTCGTGGGTGCGTCATTCTTCGCGCTGAATCAGGCCGTCGGCTGGGTTCTGGCATGGATGTTAGAGCAAATAGAGACAAGAGCATGGTTTCAGCAGCAATCTGTGTTGCCAGACATGGCTTGGTTGTGCGAGCCCATGATAGACTCTTCAAATTCGACTGGCTTCAGTCTGTACTGGCTGAGCACATCGAATATCGCAGGCCGTTTTGATTGAGATGCTCGTTGGAACTCTCGCCACGGCTTGTCAAGCTGTGGGTGCACCATACCAATTCAGCTGAACCCGATTGCTTGTCACTGTCGCAAGGTCTCATTTCGCATGACTTCACTGTTTTGATGCCGATGGCACCTTGTTAGCCACCTGTGTTCGGTGCAATTCTTGCACGTGCGCCCGCTCTGCTCACGAAGACTTGGGGCACGGGGTCTACACAACGGCGTGGAGTAGGAGCATACCTTCATTTTGAGTTGGGCATAGGTTCGCAATCTTCAGGGTCTGGGGCCGCTGTAGGGGTTGAGGGTTCAGTGATTCAGGGCTCAGGGTCTCAGACTTCCGAAGAAAGCAAACACCGATTCAGGTGGCTGCGGAAAATGACGACAGCGCTCAGGCGCCTGCAGGGAGGAGGGGGTGCAAGTGTCCAGACATGTCCAGACGAAGTAGTCAGATGTCCAGTCCATTACAAATCTAGACAGACTTAGACCCACAGGCCCTAAGGTGATAGTGCTCCTTGCCCAAGCAAGAACTGTCATCCGCCGCTCATATGTCGCACACATGCAAGGCCAGTCCCATCAAGAGAAAGCTGGACGTCACCCAGCCAAGACCCCAGGTAACTTATATATGCATGTTGACGCGATGGACAAATTTCAAGCGCCGTGCTGGCGGTCCGAACAGCACAGGCACCACAAGCCTGGATGTGCAGCGATAGATTTCCAACTCCAGCTGTGTGGTGCGCTGTCATGCGCGATCTATATCTCGTCATATAGGCAAAGATGCAGCAAGCGTCAGAAGGCGATTGTTCGCGCCCCAGCCTGGAAGTGTGTGTGCTGGGCATGGCCTTGCTTGAGCCCTGGGCCACAGATTCTACTCGATGAGCTAGGGCAGCCGCCGCCTCAGAGCAATCCAAAGCTCAAAAACCATAACCATAGCTCTGAGTAGATGTGGGCAGCGAGATGAGTCTGAGGCTCACCATGATCGGTTCCGGGGCCTGTGGAATGCTGCAACGAGGAGTGCTGTGCGGCCGTGAGGCGCGCAAACCGCAAACTCCTTGATGCTCAATGCTCATGCTTGCTGACTTGGTGGTAGGTGGCAGTGAAGCGACTTCGCGAGACCGATGAGAAGTCGCTTCAAGAACTTCAACGGGAGGTCGCAGCGCTTCGTTGCGGGGGCCTCGGAGACCTGTGACAGTTTAGGAAGATGGGAGACGTTCTGCCTTGGGCAGCTCTTCCTGACGCAAGATCATGATTAGGCAGATAAGGATGAGGAAAGCCAGCATGAAAGTTCAGGGCTGCATTGGAGCCGCGGCAAGCTTGTGCATTTTGGCACGTCGTACACGCTGGTCCAGGTTTGCAACACTCGTGCGTGGTCGCCTTTGTCGGCGAGTGAGTGTCTCAATACTGATCTTCGGACTTAATGTTGCCTCGCTGCCTCGGATGGCGCTGTTTGTTCAGGTGCAGGTACGGCGTCATCACAGAGCCGGGTGCCCGGTTTCCCTTTCGCAGCGCATTTAGTGGCACTATCGGAGCAGATGTGCAGGTTGATGCCGAAGGGCTCACTGTCCCATCACCTGCATGAGGTGGCTTGGCGATGAATTGGTCCCAGTAGATGGTCAGAGTGATGACTGAATCCACATGCAGGCCAAAACATTTATGCCGCTGATGCTTCGGGCGAAGATCGCAGAGCAGGCCTCTAACGCACGTGTGAAGTGAAGGGAAAGTGCCATCAGGCGTGTGAGCATTGGTTCTAAGTCGGCCCCGGCCGCCTTATGGGCAGGCGTACGCAATACTCACATATGTTGCCACACATTGGCAGCACTTGCATTCTGAATTAGGCCTGTAGACACGCATATGTAGCTCCACTCGTCCGCCGTTGATGGCTGCGCATAGGCCCACGTTCGTTCCCCCTAGATCTTTGAAACCTGGAGCAGTTTGTGGAAAGCTGGCAGGTGTGTCTTCAAGTAATTATGTGATGCCCGTTTGCAACACAGTGCGCTGTTGGTCTGGAGCCAGGTGTGCGCAGGCGTAGAATACCTTCATTCACATTCTCCCCGGATCGTTCATGGGGACTTGAAGCCGTGCTGCGCCCAGTTTTGCTTACTTGTCAGGGACATGCAACATGTTGTTTGTAAGCGCAGCAGGTTCCAGGCAGCATGAGTTGATATATCAAAAGGGCAGGCTCGAACGTGTTGGCCCGATACTGCAGTCCAATAGTTTCCGGAGGTCTCAGAGCAACAAGAAATTCGGGAGCCACTTTGGCAGTTTACTCGAAACCGCCAGAAATCCATTTCTGGAGAAGGCTTCGCAGTGACTCGACTGAAATGAAAGAGGCCAGACTGGAAAGATTCATTCTGATACTCATCGGGAAGTCATCTGTGTGATTGCAGTCACTAGCCGTGCCCGGGTCCGAGACTCGTGCGACATGGAGTGGCATCTTTCACTCATCGGACTTCGGCCGACTGTGGCCGGTACTCGCAATCCTTGTGCTGTGGGGCCAGAACAATCTTTTTGGATCACACGCCGTCATCCGCGGTGTATTCTGCAGCTTGAAGGACATCTGGTAGGCTTCACCTTGAAATCAACCTTCTATGTTTCCCGAAGGCGTCGCACGTGGAGACGTGGAGGGGGGTTCGCTGGACGTTGCGCATCCGCTCGCAACCGTCCGCAAGTGACCGAGTGAGGTCCCTATGGCCGTTCTGGCGCGTGTGATGTGGCAGACTGAGGGGTAACTGCTCACGAAGCGTCTAGTGGAGGCTCTGAGATGTGGTAGGGAGCTGCGCGCGAGGGGTGTTTCGGAGGATCCTGCAGGTGTGGCAATCTAATGTGCACGAGGCATGGCCTCGAGCATTCGGGCATGTGGCTAGCGGCTAGCTAGACCCTAGAGCAGAGAACCGGAATATCGCCACATGTCCCTCGTGCTGAGCTCGAGCTGTTTGCAACAGAACATGGTCAGGTGCCTTGTGCGATTTGACCTTGCCACCTGTCGATGTTTGTGCACGAAGCTCCAGAAACAGATGCGGCTGTGTTGGTTGAGGCATGATGCGTGTAGAGGTATGTGCGCAAACAGCGTCGAATCCGTGACCTGCCAGTAAGTTGACTCATTTGACGCATTCTGGTAGCCGTACATGTTGGTTGGTGGCTGTGTATTTCATTTTTCCTGATGCATCATCACAAGATGGGGTCTCGAAAACGAGCGCAGCAATGGCGTCAGCTGGCGCGGACTGGTTGCGTCGCTTGTCAGCTGCTGGGCTTGGCGTCCTCGCGGCCTTGTCGCTGCCAAGTTTCCTGCGCTGTCTTCAGCTGGGGCATGTTGGTGCGTTGCTGCGGCCGCTGCTAGACTGCTAGACGCTGCGCTTGCATTTTGTGCAATGCGTGTCGTGTCGTGCTATGCATGCAAGGGGCTCGAAAAGCTATGATGACATCGCCGTGGCTGGGATTGAGCGAAAACATCTGCTAAACTAATCCGCGCGGGTGGGTGAGACTTGCTACACATGTTGCCTTTTCGTCTGCTCTCATGTAATCTTCCCCAGCGTGGGCTTGGTGGCAAGGCTGCCCAAAAAAAAGGCGCCTGGCGCTGCGTCGACAGATCTTTCCTCCGGTGGCGATGTTCTCGCGGGGTCGCCAACCTGGACGAAGTGGGTGCAGACCCTGAACGTGCGAGGAGGGTGCTGCCATGTCCGCGCCACAGGCATGCTCCACAGCCATACAAGCCGCACGCAAGTTTTTAGCATTGACCTGCTCTGTCCTGCTGAGCATCACGTCGAAGAAGCAACATATGATACTAAAGGGAACAGTGGTTTTGCAGTACGTAGGGCGCCATGTGGGTTTCAAAAGTGGAGCGTTGAAGTGTCGATTGTTCAGCGTTGGTGCATTGTGGAGTGTAGAGTGTGCAGTTCGAGGTGAAGACTTTGGAGTGTCGAGGTACATAGATCACGTTGCTCCGGTGTCTGCGATTCCGCCGGATATGCCCTGTATAATTCTTCCTTGAATTGTCCTGACATGGGCTGGACCACGATGCGGTGGTGCTTCAATAATCTCCAACATATCCTGCTCTGGTGGCGGTTAAAACCGGGTTCCGCCAGAGGTTGCAACATCTACGTCATTAATTAAGAGACGTGTGAGCAGACGTGCGCATGGGCATCTTGTTTTTCAGAAGGGTCTTCCAATCAGATTCATTTTGGAAGTTTGCCTTAGGGCTCCTTGTTCCAAGAAGGAGTCGAAGAGATTGGAGTAAGGTTCTTGGTTTCTTCTTGACCGCCGCATGTTTGTCGAGTTTGTGCCCCCGCCGCGCAGCCCGTGCACTGATACGAATGCTAAGGGCAAACGTCGTTCTGGACAACATGTACAATGCCAAGCTGTGCGATTTTGGGACGTCCCAGCCAGAACTTCAGACTGCTGCAGCCAGCTTGGATAAAAACTTCCCGCTCTGCGCGCTGACTTGCTGAGGTTCATGGTCGACGACTTCATCGAGCCATGCGGAGGCACCCTTCCGTATTTGGCGTGGGTGGCCTATAACGTCTCTAGACTCGTTGCAGTAGGTAGGTGCTGTCCGGGGTCTCAGAGCGCAACATTTGATATTCCAAGGCCAGAAAGCGCCCCCGTGTTTCGTGGAGAGACGGTGAAGGTGACAGAGAAGGCCGCAGCTTTGTAGTTTTCGGGGCGACATGCTGCTGGGAGAGCTTTGTGCGACTGTGTTCGCGACATGGAGGCAGATGTGTGGTCGCTGGGCAACTGCCTTGGCTGCACCACATTGCTGTCCAGCCATTTCATTTGTTATGGTCGTATACACGACGAGGCTGCGTGCTCAATGAAGCACTCGGGGGGCCACGGCCGCATGCCGAGTGCCGAAACCTGGAGCAGCTCATCGCCAAGGCTTCATGCGCGTGTTGTCGTACGGTCGTACCGGGGTCTTCCACGCAGGTGGTTGAGCGACGGCTGCCCCCAAGACTCCCAGAGTTCCTTCCGGCGCGAACGGTCGCCGCACTGGCGTGATTCCAAAAGTATTCAAAGGTCCTTCTGTTCTTGTCTTCGAGTTTAAGCACTGGCAGGTCTGCCAGTGCCTCATCGTGGATGCATTGTCCAGGGCTGGGGCCCGCACTGTCCAGGGCCTAGGAATAGAAACGCAGATCATGGGATCTGACTGCTCCATGCACCTGATTCTGGAAGCGCCTGGCAGTAGTACAGGTGCTTTCCGGCATCCGCCGCTGGGACTTTACAGGCGCCGGCAAGTCAAGGAAAAACATGTTGTGTTGCAAGGTACCATTCCAAGACCATTGGTAGGCAGACTTCGGGGAGCTCCGTCGATTCGCGGGATTTTCAGCCAGGCGACGGTGCAAGGGCGCTTCGGCGAGGTGCCCGGCAGCCTGGACGAAGCCGTCAAGCCCTTAGAGTTGCAAGGATTGCAGATCTTCAGAGTTTCGATGTTCAGCCACGCGAAACGTAAGACTTTGAGAGCGCTCCTGAATGTGAGGTTGAAGTCATTTTCGAGCTCGACGAGTGCGGGTGGGAGGTTCCGGATCCAGGCTTTGCGCCACAAGTAGCAAAAAGAACAACAAAGCCTAATTGGCCAATGTGCTCCTAATCGCATGCGATCACCGTTTCGTGGAGGGCTCAGCTCTCTGCGTAGGGCTGCAGCTGCCGGTGTGCAAGTGCCAGTATAATTCACAGTCACACTCTCCAATCAAGTTTGCTTGTTTCTTGAAGCACTTCCGGAGACATTCGCCCTTCGTTGTGCCTCACTCCCCAGGGCGCCGGCACCGAGCTGACGACTCAGGAAGTAAGAACTTACGGGTCTGCAAGGACAGAAGTTTGGGCGTGACCCCTGTGGCATAAGACAGCAGGAGTGACGAATCAGAGGATGCAGATTCAGCTTTGAAAGCCGTGTGAAGATTTGGACGCTGCTGCCTCGCTTGTGCTTCGACATGCGCGACCGCCTTGGCTCAAGCCTCAGCACTTTCACCATGTTACCGCGCCTGTGTGGCTTCTTTTTAACACTGGCACACTTCTCGCACGCCCGAGACGTGTGCCCCTCCGACACAGCGTTCCCTTCGAAATCTTTGCTGCAAAAGTCGTGGTACCCCCTCCGACACAGCTCTCTCGCATCCGGTGCAGTCGACGTCGAGAGCAAGCGGGGCGAGCACACTTTGGACGCTCAGATTTGCAGGGTGGCATTGTGCCGGGATGAGTATTACGTGGACTGCCCCGCTTCTTGGGCAACTCGGCTCTGGAAACGTTCCTGACATTCTGAGGCTGCCGCTTTTGAAAGTGCTGCACTTTCCCCTTCTTTAGTCCCTTCTGCTTGCTTGTAGGCCTAGGCGGAGGTCAACAGAGGCTTTCTCGCGATTGTTTGGCTCATGAGGTATATGCGGTGCGGGCCACTGACCCCAACGGTTTCCGAGTCATCAGCCTGGACAGAGAAGTGGGACAGCATGTCGAGTCAATCCAAGTCTCTGAAGGCTGTGCGAGGGTGATCGTTGTGGATGAGGACCGCTCGTCCAACGACAGATAGGGTCAACAAATCAGGGACAGAAAGTATTGATTCGTATTGTGTTCCTCAGTCTCAACAGTCTTCTGAAAAAACGTGCGTGGCACAAGGAGAATCCGGACGATCAGACGACTTGCAACCACCCAGGCACAAGCTCAGTGTACCTTCATTGATGTGTTCCTAGACTGTCGGACTTGTTGGATCCAGCTTGGTTCTCAGAAGCTCGCAGGCTGCCCTGAGCTGCCGAATGACTTCTCGGAGGACGTCGGTGGCCTTCAGCTCTTTAACGCCCAAGGCTCACCTCTCTGGTCCGGCGAGCAGCCGAGCTGCAAAGCGGAGCTGAGCCTGATCACTACTTGGGATGGGAAGGAGATGCAATGTTCCCTTGAGACCAAGTCCGTCTTCGGCAGGACCTGGACCGCAAGAGACATGAGATGGGCTTGTGGCGTCACTTATGCCCAAGATGAGCTGCACTACGAGCTCACAAAAGTAGCGCTGAGTTCGGGCTGCGATTCTGCTGTGATTAAGGGCATCTCGGGCAAGACGAGGTACGTGCCAAGAATTCGGCAGAATAATCAGCACGATGATTTCTACGATGCGCATTACTTCACCCTCATGGATAATGCGGATGAGGTCACAGAGTATGCGACTGACTTTTCCCTTTACGCCCATGATGGAGGCTTGCGACCGATCCAGAGCATTTGCCCCGCAGGGTATTTGGTGATCCCTGGGCAGGGCACCATCATTGATACGAAGGAGGCTTTTGAGGCTTACGCGGCCTGTGACGGGTTGGATGCATGCTGCATCTTGGCAAAGTATGGCAAAGTGTTAGAGCATGTAGATTCAGGCATATGGGCCGGGCATGCAGGATGAGCGGGCAGGGAATACCCTCTGGGTGAGTGTGAACATTTGTCTTGTGGTTTGTCTGTCTTGGGCCCTTGGGGGCTGGCTCAGGTGGTCTGACAGAGGGCGAGGGCTTGCAATATACCAGCTCTGTGCGGAAATTGGATATGGTGCAGTGCGATGTGAAGCCCGTGGATGGCAAATACTTCAGCACCTGCATCAAGAGTGCAAAGGCTGAGGTGGTCAAGCAGAAGGTTGCACTGCGGAGCGTGAACGATCCGTTTGCAAAGCTTGTCTTTGGGCGAGGAATGGTGCAAGCCAAGAAACATCAGCTGCTACAACTACTCCTGGCCAGCCAAGACTCGCAACTCTCCTCATCAGCGATTTACAACTTCATGACAGTCCTGGAAGGCTACATTGGCTTGGAATGCGGGGGCCTCAGCCGAAAGGGTTGTAAAAGGTTTCTTTCTGTGGGACGTGCTGCGGACATGCTTGCGCTCATCGCAAGTGCTTGCAACAGATTGTCCATGCGGTGGCTTTTGCGGCTGGAAGCATGCAGTGTTTTCGGGAAGTTCTTCCTCCCTAAAAACGCGGCGTTTGCAAGCATCGAGCCCGAGGACCTTCTCGGTAAGCGCAGCATGTCGTGGGGCTTTTTGCTTGGTTTTGGTACGCTTCCACTTCGAAAGTGACGGCCGGTGTTGCTCCTCCAAACACACGTGTTTGAAACATCTGACTCGATCGTGAAGACATTCCATCAAAAATGTTCGGGGTGTCGGACAGATTCGGACAGTTTGATCTTTGCGGCCTTCGAACGTCTCGCTCTCGCGTCCTCACGTGAACCAAGGCGCAGCCTCCAAGTTCGAGGACGAGATCTTGTCAAGGATCACGGCTGAGATCGGCCTTTTGGTGCAAGCAGCCATGGCTGTGGAGTTTGGGGCCGGAGGTTCTCACGAGACCAAGTGGGGCAGAGAACTCGCCGACAACTTCCGGCACTCCGGCTGTGATCAGGCAGGGGGCGCCCCCTCAGAAAGCCCAGCAAGCAGAGACTGCACAGCAGCCTGTGTTAGTTTGGTTTCATCGTTTGCAGGCCAAGCACGTTGTTGGCTTGCCGCCGCTGCGCTCGCCCGGAACGTGTGAAAACCTCAGGCGCTTTGATTTTTACACGGAACATTACAGGCAGCTGCCCGCCAACCTAAAGATGTACCTGAAACAGTTTGCCGTGGTTCTTGCTGGGACACTCTACAAGGATTCCATGTCTGCATGTGTCTCTCTCTCTCTCTCTCGCTCTCTCTCGCTCTCGTATCTTACTTTTGCAGAGGGGTCTCGCTTCTCACGCAATGCTCTTGGGAGGATTTTGCAGAAGATGCTTATGATGACGACCGCTATGACATCTTGACCGATTGCTTTGTCAGCGAGAAGGTTGCCACCGACAATCGCTTCGAACAGTCCAATCAGCTGAGGGAGCGGATGCTGGCAAACCCGGCGGAAAAGAGGTGGCTTTATCGGCGAGTCCTCACTACGTATCATGACACCACTCTGTGGCACGACTTTGTTGAAGGTCTTGATGTCCAGAAAGTGGGCGACTTCACCACCACCTTCATCTTGAGGGCTCACCTCATCACGCGCTTCCTGTACGGCGAGATTGAGACCAAAATTCCTGAAGCGCTGGGACAGCTCTACAACCTGCACTCCTTGCTGGCCGTCTTCTTGGAAGGAGTACCGGCATCTGTCACAGCGACAATTGGTGGTGAGAACCGGGTGGTCGGGGACTCAGCATACCAACTGCAGGAGCGCTTTTCGTCTGAGCCCTCCGTAACTTGTTTCCAGCTTGCCTGTCACGTTTTGTGAGCACGAGACTAGCAGGTTGCGCTTGAAGACATCATTGCCTTCATATCTTTCTTGAGCAGCGCTCAGAATGCTGTACATATGCCCGTGGAAACACTCTTCGCTTCCGACGAGTACACGAAGAATGTCGAGGCTCTCGAGACGGTCGCTTCTGCCGTGCTGTTGCAAGACAATGCGACACCCGATGCCAGAGAAGCGGCAACTCGGGATTTGAGCGTGAAGGCTGCGGTAATCAGGAAGCTTCTCCTCGACACCGTGTTGTGCCAGGACTCTGCTTGTGGGCACTTTGCAGGCTTGTGCTTTGGAGTTTGGCCTTCTGAGGCTCCAATCCTTGACGGTGTATCGGCACTTATCAGATAAGGCTCCCCGTGCGGCCTGAGTTCAGCTCGTCCAAAATTGTGTTTGCAGGGTTTTCACGGCGGACAGGGGATCGGGGGGAGGTGTGGCCAAATCTTGGGGCTGTAATGCTCAATCCGGCAAGCTGTTTGTCTCTTGTCGGCATGTACTTCATAGTGTTTCCATGTGCTACCAAAAAGGACGTGGAAGGCTGCAGCATGACCTATGCACCCGAGACCGTGAAGCTGGATTATGGGATCCCTCCTGATGGTTCCGTCTGGTCCAAGGCAGGCGATCATACTGCCTGCAGGGGTAAGGACTACGATGATGATAGCAGCAACCACTTCGTACCACACGAGAATGTGGCCTTCCCCAAGGCATGCATGGATCTTTGCACGCAGGAGGGGGGGTGCCAAGGCATCCAGTATAGTTACCTCAGCAGGCAATGCCAGCTGTGGACCCGGCCGGCGGGCATTGAGCACTTCGTGGGTGAGGCAGGTTCCGTTTGCTACGTCTTGGCTGCCAAGGGTGTCGTGCCAGTGAAGATCGGCTCGCCCGGCCTGGACGTCTCCAAGAAGTGTGTGGACATGGACCAGCCTGTCACATGCTCCAAGGATGCTGCTGCAAGGGGACGGCGGCTCTCAGGCAACAAGCGCCCAGAGAGCTTCACCATCGCTGTGACCGACGCTGTAACGGTGTGCGCTGAGCGCATAGACGCAGGCCTGATGAATCCTTTCGTTGGTTGGGCTTGGGATCTGGAAATCGCGTGCACGACTCACCCAGACAGCATCACAGTGGTCCTCGGGAAAAGTGGCTGGGGGCAGGCCTGTATAAGCACCCGCACGCCGGTGGAGTGTTCCGCCGTGTCCGCGGATTACGGGGCCCGCCTCGGTGATGATGACTTGGAAACACTCATGTTCCACGTGACCTCAGAAGCCGAAGGCTTGGGAAGCCGAGTTTGTGCCAAGCGCCTGGACAAGAAAGGCGAAGGCTGGACCTTGGATTTGAAGATCAGATGCCGGCCGCTAGCAGTGCGCTCTGCTCCCATTCAGAACGCGCTCCACCAGTCACTTGAGGAGTTTCTGTACAATCTCGACTCGTTGAACCAGTCAAACTTTGATTTCGCTCTGCCGGCGCAAGCACTCACCCGAAAGGTCTGTGATAGTCAGAAGCAAGTCAACAACCAGGACTTCCAAGAGGAGTACACAGACGTTTCCTCAGTGCGATGGTGTCAAGAGCTTTGCCGACAGAGTGTGGCGTGCCTCTCGCTCCAGTACGATGAGACGACCAAGCGCTGCGAGTTGACCTGCTCGCCGGAGTCGGAGGGCTCCTGGTTGCAGACGAGCCAGAGCCGGAGGAGCTTGGATCTCGCGGATACTGCCCTGAAGTTGGCAGGTCTGCAGAACTACCTGACAAAGAGCGTGGCTTGCGAGGGCAAGGCCCAAGCGATGTGCAACTTCGAGAAATGGATGGCGGGCACTTCCTTCATTCAGACTTTTGTGGATGTTGCGCCTGTCTTGGAGAGCGCTGTGGATGCTGCAAGGGCCAAAGCCTGGTACCCCGTCGGAAAACAGATCGCCTTCGGGGCGAAGCATCTCTTTGCCGGGGCCGTTCGGCTTGTTTGCAAGATTGGCAACGGAATCAGGAGCATCAAGCTTCTCTCAGCTCTGGAGAGATTCGGAGAAAAGGTAGTACGAGACGTGAACGCCTACGACGATCTGGCCCTGGCCGTTTGGGCCGACGAAGCCGCGGACGCACTCATCGCCGGGGCCAAGGCTTTCTACAACAGCGGTTCCAAGGCAGCTGGGCCTGCCCTGGAGAAAGCGGGTGACTCGCTGAAAGCCTCGGGCGCCAAGTTCGTGGGTGAGGTGAGAAGCTGGTTCGACGTCTCAGAAACCGCGGCCGACAGGGTTGCCAAGAATGTGGCTAAAATGTCGAAGTTTGCCAAGGTGGCCCAGGTAGCGCTCTTCCCGCTGAGCCGGCGCCTCAGAGTCAGACAAGGTCAGACATTTTGATCCGACATGGCGTTGCCAGCAGAGTAGATTGCGTTCAACTGTGGTGTCCCTGCAAGGTGTCATCGGAGTGGTCAGCGACTTTCACTCGATGGTTCAGGCTTTTCGAAACGGAGAGGTGGGGATGGCAGTCTTCAACATGATCAATGTCATCGGTGGTGTCATCAGCGCAGCTGTTGGGCTTGCCACCATCGCAGTGTCCTATTTCGGCACCGCCATGGCTGTCTGCACCATTCTTGCAGGCAACTGTCGTCCCAACATCCGGGGTGTTAGTTGCGGGGAGGTTTTTCTGCATCATCACCCGAACCTTTCAGACTTTCATCAATTCTCCACTCTTTGCCAGGCTGGCTGCGGTCGAAGTTTAGCTTCTTCGCTAGCCAGGGTACCTATGAACGAAGAAACAGACGTCGTGTGTAATGAGACTCATGGGAAAGAAAGACTAGCCAAGTTCCTCTCCGAACGACTGGCACAACATGAAAGGTGAGGCAAGCAGGTGCAAATCTGATTCGATGAATTGTTGAACTGTTCGATGGAGGTGCTGATGGCCGCAGTGTGAGTTGCGTGACTCTGTGCCGTCCTCCCTGCAGGGCCCATTGGCACAGCCGTTGGCATTGTCTTTGGGGCCATTGCAGTGATTGGAAGCATCATCGTCTCCATCATCACCGCACCTCCTGACAGCGACGAGCTCGGAGAGGAGTTCTGCTGCATGGCCATTCGGGCCTTCACCGATGTACTCAAACATGAAAGCATGCCCAATTTCGGGAGTCCGTTTGCTCCTTTGGAGACTTCAGTTGTTTCGGACGTCTTTGGGGCAAAGAACTTCCAGGAGTTTGCCGGAAAGACATGGGAAGACTGCGATGACTACGCAAAAGCCGGGCTCCTCCAGAAGCCACAGAACACGAAGACGACTAATACTACACTTGCTACACTTGCAAGAGAAAAAGCACCCTGGAGCGGCGGCAAAAGCCGCCCTTGGAGCGTCACGCCAGGGCTCAGGCATTGCCTTCCCGGCCCAGGGCTTTGCGCTCTCGTCCGGGACGCCTACGGCTTCCTTCAGCCCCTGGGGCGCTTCCAGAGCCTCAGGGCTTTGTCGGACGCAGCAGCACATGGAGCCCCGCCGAGCTTCCAAGATGGCATTGGCACACCGATAAGAGAGCCCATCCTAGAAGCTCCTTGCCACCATGAGGTCCTGTCTTTGATGTGGAAGATGGGATAACACATGGGAGGAGGGACCCCTCGTCCACCGTTTCGCTGAGGCAAGTCTTGTACGGGCGATGGCCGACTTGGATCACACGAAGCCAGGGATTCCTCAGGCGGGGAAGGGCAGAGGCAATGCATCGCAAAGTGCGCAATGCTGGTAGTAAGCAGGTCATAGTATCCTGGAAGAAGCCTCCTCTCAGGCAGGATTCCGGGAGCTGTGTGCTGTGTCCGTGCAAATCAGACTGCTTGCGTCCTCGCACTTTGCAAGGCGGCCAGCTGTACTGCAGGAGGATCTGCTCAGGCTTCAAAGGATGACGGATGTCAAGAAGTTGGCGCCGGCGCAGAGCTCTCGCTCCAACTCTTCGAGCGATCAGCTGCTGAAAGACTTGGAAGACCTGATACGGAATGCCAAGGGCCTCTTCGAGTGTCTCGAGGGGCTCCCGAAGAAGTATCATCTCATCGAGTTTATGAAACGGGTTCTGGAGCCCAAGATGCCCGAGGCAATCTTCTCCTCCTATGTGGAGGTTCCGGTACACAGCATCGAGAAGTGGCTAAGGCAGGATACCTGTAGTGGGACGTGTGAGCGCTTCACATCAACCCAAACGCTGACTGTCGATACAAGTAGCGCGAATCACTTTATGAATCCGTTCTGGTAGCCTCTTTTTCCAGTAGTCGTAGTCATGTGGTGCAGACTTGGTCATTTCCAGGCATCCATCTTGCTTAACACACCCGTAACACATCTGAGACCGAGACTTGGGTGCACTCTCGCATGGGATTTGTCTCACTTGACCGCATAAGCAAAGCAGGTGCTCAAGTTGATCAGGGTTCAAGATTACAACTGCTTTTTGGCAGGGAGCTCACCGCCAAGTATGAGACGAACAGTTTCCAGATGAGCGTCCACATCGGCACCCATGAAACTGTAATGTCTGGCCATGGGCTTCACCGCGCCGTTCCGGTTGAAATTGGCCCTAGCAAGGCAGGCTCGGCAGAAGTGTGCGTTCGAGCATCGGCCGCAAAGGTGCAATGCGACCCACACGGAGGAAGCTGGCCAGGCAGCTACACCGTCACCGTCTCGGATGGTAACTTGGTGTGTGTGCGCAGGACGTGTGCGCGGCTAAAGAGTTGGCTCCGTGCTCTCTGTGTGCTCTGCCGAGTCCCTGCAGGATTGATGCGGATGGTTGGAGCTCGGCCTTGAGAATGACTTGCGCAGCGTCAGAAACCGAGGAAGCAAAATGTGTGAAGGCACGCGCAAACAGACTGCAGTGTGATGCGGATGCTGGCAATCTCAACAAGCGCTTGCAGCCCCTCAACCTAAAGGTCGGGCACACCTACGCCTTCTACAACTCCCCTCAGCGGCGTTTCTTGCGCATGTCTGAATGGGATGTGGACAGCAGCGGCGAGATGGACGAGAACGCCCTGCCAACGTGGTGGACCTGGGAACAGTTCTTGGTGGTGGATGCTGGCGATGGACGCGTGGCCCTTCACAACTCTGCATGGAATGCATTTTTGCAGGTCACCGACCAGCACGATGTGAGGAAAACCTGGCAGATGAATGCCAATGAGCTGCCTGCAGATTGGATGTGGGAACGCTTTGATGTGGTCGATGCTGGTGATGGCAAGCTGGCCTTCAGAAGCCATCTGTTTGGCCGCTACCTGCGAGTCAACGGTTGGACGGTAGATGCCACCGCAGAACCTGTGGGTGATTTGGAGATGTTCACCCCCGTGGATTTGACTAACACTCCGTCCCTCGTGTTCGGCCAGACTTATGCTTTTCACAATCCCACGCACAATCGCTTCCTGCGCATGACCAGTAGCGATGTGGATAGCAGCGAGACGTGCAATGCAAAAGACCTCCCCGCTTCCTGGATGTGGGAAAGGTTCCTGGTGGTGGATGCAGGCCATGGCCAGGTCGCTCTGCAGAACCCTGCCCATCGGTCTTTTGTCCTGGTTGGGGATCGAAATGATGTAACGAAGAGTGTGCCGCGAGACTCCAGTGAGCTCGCAGATTGGGAACTGCGGGACCGCTTCCAAATCGTCTTTGCTGGAAAGGGCCAGGTTGCCCTGAGAAGTGTGTTTTCCGGCCATTTTCTAAGCATGGAAGACCGTGACGTGAATGCTCACCCAGCACACGTTGGACTCTGGGAGTCCTTCACGCTGGTGGCTGTGCCAGGTCCACTGCAGGTCGGGCACACCTACGCCTTCTACAACTCCCCTCAGCGGCGTTTCTTGCGCATGTCTGAATGGGATGTGGACAGCAGCGGCGAGATGGACGAGAACGCCTTGCCAACGTGGTGGACCTGGGAACAGTTCTTGGTGGTGGATGCTGGCGATGGACGCGTGGCCCTTCACAACTCTGCATGGAATGCATTTGTGCAGGTCACCGACCAGCACGATGTGAGGAAAACCTGGCAGATGAATGCCAATGAGCTGCCTGCAGATTGGATGTGGGAACGCTTTGATGTGGTCGATGCTGGTGATGGCAAGCTGGCCTTCAGAAGCCATCTGTTTGGCCGCTACCTGCGAGTCAACGGTTGGACGGTAGATGCCACCGCAGAACCTGTGGGCACATGGTCGTCAAAGGCGGGAGCCTGGAATGCTTTCGTGCCAGTGGACATGACCCCAATGTCAGCATTGGCTGTCGAAAAAACACTTGTAAACTCTGCGATCGTTGGCAGTCACTTTTTGGTTCCGCATTCTGCCACCTATGCTACATCCCTCACAGAGAACGGCCACTCCCAACGCGACAGACCAAGTGGCTTTGACGCAGGGGAAGAGCTGTCCGTTTTGTGATCATGAACTTTGTTGTTGTTAGTATTTGCTGTGTGTGCTTGCGCTGTCTATTCGGTCGATTCATTCCAGGCGATGTTGGTGCAACCTTCGACATCACAGTCAGGACTGCAGGGTCACACTAAGAGGGTTTAAAGTTTAAGCGGTGCAGACCCAGGCAAGTTTTAAAGCGGACACCATCTGTGAACGGTGCCATGTCTAAACATGTTTAAACATTCAACTGCAGGCACTAGTAGCACTACTTTGCCCCGAAGGCTTAAGTAAGTTTCCAGGACTCCAATGACTCTCGAACGACATTGCAACCTGAAGTGACCTCAGCAAAGGGTAAGTCAAGCACCTTTGAACGGCTTGCAAAGTTGCTAGATAAATCCCGTTTGACCCGAGCTCGTGTTTGAGGCAAATGGAATAGGCACAAGCGCAACGCAAGCCAGCACGGTCAAGCGGGTTTTGTTATTCCTGATTTAAACAGGCGTGGGAGCACGACAGGAACTGATCCCGGTACGGAGTGAATTAATCAATCACGTTTCTGCGGGCTTGAATGCGAGCTACTCTTTTTAACTTGTTTGAACCGAGCTCGTCATTGACGCAGAAGGCATGAGCAGAACAGGAAGTATGATCGCGTTACGGAGGCCAGCACCTTCAAACGGGTTGAATGCACTGCACAGCTCTATTGGCCCTTCGCCTTCCTCCTCCCTCCAATGTTTGAACACGGCTTCTATACGCCTCCAGGGCCCGCACTAGGTTTACACCGTGGGTTTAAGCCGTTTAAGCACACAGTTTGCAGACTGCCGTTTAAAATTTCACCATAAACTACAGTTTTGTTTAAACCTTGGGTGTTCAAAAACGAGTTCGTTTTCGAAATGGTGTTGCCTTGCCCATCCCTGCAGGAAAGGGCCCTTGAGGTGTTAAGGGTCTCACTTTGCTTTTGTCCTGTGGAGGAATGGCAACGAAGTCTGTGCACGTCGCACAGATCACGTGGTGGACTGGAGCATCGACTTGACTGTTTCGTGCCAGGAATCCGAACAGTGCAACGTTTTAGACTGTGATGCTAGTTGGACGTGCTAAGCTGCTAGGACTCCTGCTTGGAAAGCGCCTTCTGAAAGGTTCCGTTTTCGGGGTCCCCTGACAAGGACAAGTCACAACACCAAGTGGTGGTCATCAGCACGAGTGCAGAGAAGAAGCGGTGCGTGAAGGTACATGCAAGTAGAGACCTCACCTGCCTTCCGGATGCCGGCAACTATCCCTTCCGGAAGAATTCTGATGGCCATGTGGACCCTCCAGAGACTGAGTTTGAGATCACGGTGGAGAAGATGGCTGGGGATGGGACCTACGTGTGTTCGAAGCGACTGGATGCCGACTCGGGCTGGGCGATGCACTTGGCAGTGGGTTGTTTCGCTGGCACCCTGGTGGAGGACATCTCCAGCCTTTCAGATGGAAGTTGGAAGATGCTGATCATCGATGAGGCGCCCAGAAAGCTGCTTCACGATCCGATGGAGAAGCCAAGGATTTCTTTTGGTGAAAATTTTGCCCCTCTTGTCTCTGCGAGGCCATGGCCGAGCTGCACAACCTCTTCCGTACGCCTGGCTTCGAGCCCATGCGCTGCGCCATGGAGAATGTCGTTGATCCTGTAGTTGAGAAGGCAAAGGCCCTGATCCAGGATACGTTCAAATGGCTGGACCAGCTGGTGCTTGATCTCATCCAGGAGTCGGCTGCCTTTCTAGGAGGCTCCGCGAGATTGCTGCTGGAGCTGCTAGGCTTGGCCAGTCCCGTTGAAGCCTTGACGGACATAATGAACGGGAAGGCCGCTGAGGCGCGGCCTTCCCTTGTCCGAGTTGCGAGAGCGTAAAGCAAGTGCCAGGGCTCTGTGCCATTCTGTGCCTCTCGCAACCCCCAGCCCAACCCCCGGCAGGTCTGCGACGTCACCCTGAAGGAGACTTCTGAGCGCATGTACCAAGGTCTACCGGTGCCGCTCTCAACACAGACGCAGATGCTCATGGACCTGCTCCCAGAGGTGGCCGTTAGTATCATGAGAAGCTTTGCCAGCACTTTGCTTGACTTTTTGTCCGACACCTTCATCCAGCAGCCCGCAAACTTCATCATCAACCAGGTTCAGAGTGCACTCCGCATGGGAATGGAATATCTTACCGGTCTGTGTGGCCTCGTCCCAGAGGTTGGTGGGATCATTTGCATGGTCTTCACCGGTGCCTTGACGGCCGGCGAGGAATGGCTTGGGGGGCCTTTGGCATCCTTCCTCACAAACCTCATGAAGGACATTTCTGCGAAAATCCTGGATGCGATTGCCTGGTTTACCAACTTAGTTGCGGAAGACCTCCAGAACGCTGTCAACAGCATCCCAACACTGATCCTGAGTGGCTGAGTAGGTAACCTTTTAAGCTTTTGGCACTTCGGTAAGCCTACCCTAATTTCAAGGTTAAACCTTTTGTGGACTTGGATACTCAGCCGACTCCCTAAGGATCAGTGAGCTTCTTGCCAGCTTCGCTGGGGAGCATCAATGGCTCAACGTCATCTTGCAGGGCCCCATCATGGAGCCTCTTGTGAAGGCACCTTTGGGGCTCACTTCAGTTTTGTTCTTTAGTCATGTTGTTGGGATGCTGTTTTGGGATTGTATTCCAGGGTGTATTTGGGCTAGGACAGGGTGGTAGAGGAAGGCCGTCTCTCCCGGAGTCACGGCCCGCCGCAGGCCCTGACCGGCATTATGCACTTCTTCAGCTCTTTGGTCGCTGGGATGTTCCCAGGACTGCAGGAGAAGTTTGACGCCTGCAAGGCCCGCGTGGAGAAGCTGGTGATCCACTGGCCCAGTCGAAACCAGGCATTGCTGTCTTACACGGCTGATGAAAGCCGTCAGAGCAGCAATCAGCTGAAAGCCAGACAGCTGCTGCAGACGGACCTTGCAAGCGTTGCGACCACGGTGAGGGTGCTTCCTCGTGCAGAGAACCGTCGCGAAGCCACTGTCGGTGGATCTTGCCGGCCCCACACGGGGGAACTTATTTGCCTGCACGTCCGCAATTCCTATGGCTTTCGGCAGCCTCTTCTGGTGCAACCATCCATCAAGGCCATCCGTGAACGTGCCTTGTTGCTGTGGCAGCAGGAGGATTGTGTACAGCTCAAGGTTAACGGCACCAACATCACCGAGGCCAACATGGAGTCGCTCGGAAAAGTAGTGGTGTACTTTGAGCACCGGGACGGAACACCGATGACACAGGCCGAGCACTTTGCCCTGCACGCCGCCCTGGATGCACAACTGACAAACCAGACACTGGGATCCCGAGAAGTAGCCATTTTTGGTTCATTTCTGCGTTATATGGTCGGCTACATGCTGCATCTTAGGACCACCGGGCCAAACCACGTGCCGGATGTGTATCTTGGCTGGTTGCGGCTCGGCAGCCGTGTCAAGCGCCACTTCATGAAGTACCTCCAGAAGAGACAGCCCACCGAAGGCATGTCCTTGGCCCAGTTTGACTTCTTCGCAGGCATGCTGTTCTTCTAAACGTGGAATTTAGGATTTCTTCAAAGCTCTTCACGACCTTGAACTCTCAAGTCTGCAGCAAACCTCAAGACTTTAATGCAAGAACGATTGCAGGGCTCGTCGACTGGGTGGGTGACGGCATTGAGACCATTGGCACCTGGGCAATTGACACCACTGCGGATGTTCTAGACTTTTTCGGTGCGGAAGCAGAAGCAGATTGGCTTCGGGACCTTGGGGGAAATTGCAGGTGTCGTGTTTTGCTAGGCACACATAGGCACCCCGCGTGTTGCAAGTGAGCTTGTCGAGAGGACTTGGCAGACCTGCCGCCACTCTTGAACCAGCTCATCGACAAAGTCGTTCCCTTCGTAGACTGTCTTGAGTCGCTGCCCGAACCCATTCAATTTCAACAGCTTGTCCGCCTCGCTCTCAACTTGGAGGAGCTGCCCCAAACCATGTATCAACATGTTATTCAAAGACCTCTGGATTCCATGATGACCTGGGCTGACACGCTTCTTGGCAGTTTGCTCCGAAACGAGCAGTTGGTAGACGTCCGGATTGGCCCCTCCGGGTCAAGCAAGAAATGCATAGACGGCCGTGGGCATCACCTCATTTGCGCAGCGGATGCAGCCAATGAGCACAAGCGGCTGCAGGGTGGCAAGGGGGCCTCCTTCGAGGTCAGGGTGGAAGGTGACAGAACGGTGTGTGTGCAGCGCAAAGATGTGGATGCTGGCTGGGCCATGGACCTTGGCATTGCCTGTAAAGACACATCCCTGCACCATGTCGTCTACCTGGGCGCGTCAGACTGGAATGAGAAATGCGTCCATGTCTATGCTCGGGGACTCTACTGCCCAGCGGATGCTGCAGACCGATCCATTCGGATCAACTCGGATCAATGGGATGCCACGGATGAATTCCATGTGTGGACTGAGGCAGGCTGAAATTAAAAGGGTCGACCAAGGAGCTGTGAGCTCTTGTGCAAGCTAAAAGCCTCCGAAGTCCTTCCAGTCCTTGTCAAGGCCTCGCATGTTTCTTTTGTGTTCGCTCCTTGAAAGCAGGGGGACTTCATCTGCGTCAAACGCACTGATGCGGACGCTGGATGGAGCATGAACTTGGCAGTTGAGTGCTATGCAGACTACTTCACCGAAGACCTCGCCGCACTCGCAAGCGGAAAGTGGAAGCTGCCCATGCTCAACAAAGTTTGGGACCAAATTCACCAGCTCACGCTTCTTCCTGGCATGGAGATGGGTCGCTGTGGCTTTGAACATTTCCTGCTGCCTAGCGCCCAAGAAAGACTGTGAGTTAAGGCACCTTGCGACATCTCACAACATCTTAGAGCTCCATCCCTGAACCCGACCTTCTTTTGCCCTCCGAGATCAGCAGCTCAGGCTCCCTTTGAAAGGCGAGCTTTTCGACATGGTTCAGAGAGGCTTCCAGCTGGTGGACAAGGTAATCATGTGGATGGTCGAAGGCCGCTTACACTGCTTACACGAACTTACACGCGGATAGCATAAGGATCATGATTCCATTCCAAGATTTGCCTATCATTCCCAAGCAGCCAAACACTAGTGTAGCACGATGGGGTCCTTGCGCTAAGAGTGACGGATATAGGTCGCTGGGATCTATGCCTTGGTTGCTTCCGGAGGACTAGAAAGTTGTGCGCTGTAGCGCACCTGTCAACAAGGATTCCATGGTGTCAGCTCCATGTCTTGTCAGGCCTGGGGGAGCTACTGGGCCAAGCACTACAAGGCAGCATGTGCACAGCATTCCACTTCAGACACTCATGACTTGTGACTTGTCGGAACCTGTGATCAGTTCTGCCTGCAAGCGCTGATTGTGCAAGGCGTGTCGTGGCTGCTGGGCTTGCAGGACGCCGTGGCAGTGGTTCTCAGATCCACATGTTCGTGCTTTGTTTGTCTGTTCATGTTTGGATGTTCCTTTCGCACTTTTCACAGAGTCTGATGCTCGAAAGGGGTCAGCAGAGGTTGGAGACATCGTCAACAGCGAGATCGCCCTGCAGTGTGAAACGACAATGGATCGAACACTGGATGCACTCATTGCCGAGCAGGCCAATCCCATGACCGTCTTTGGTGTCAAGGCACGCTTGTGATATTGGTTCTTGAAAGCAAAGCTTAACCCCTCTACAGGGGTGATGGTCGCGAAGCGCAGAATTGTCGTCACTTTCGGAGCATGGTGGTCGCAAAACGCAGGAACCGTCGTCACTCTTGGGGGGTGGTGGTCGCGAAGCGCGGAACTGTCGTTTCTTTCGGCTCTGGTGGCTCGGAAGTCGACGTTTGTAGTGCCGAAGTAGTACCAAAGTAGTACACAGAGAGCTTCTGGAGCTCTGCCGGTCAAATATGTAAATACATATATATATATATATATATATTTGTATTTATATATTTATTGAAATTTAGTTGTTTTGAAGGAGAAAGAGAGAGAGAGAGAGAGAGAGAGAGAGAGAGAGAGAGAGAGAGAGAGCGAAAGAAGCTTCATGTGATACGCTGCCATGCAAGCCTGTCGTGTCGAGGGCACGGTGATGTTCGAAGCCCTCCCGAACATTGCCGCCCGGTCCTTGGGCACGCTGGTACGCTACCTCCTGCGAAAGCTAGGAGACAAAGTTGTGGAGCCTCTGGCTTTCCAACTGGTTGGTGGAATCCAGGCAGCCATGGGCGCTGCCGAAAACGGTGTTGACGGACTCTGTGGGCTGATCCCAGTCGCAGGTGGCATTGTCTGCTCCATCCTTACAGCATTCGTGGCCGCGGCCCAGAAGTTCGTGAGTCCTATAACGATGAACTTCATCATCGACGTAGCGCAGAGGGTGTTTGACTTGATTGCCAGGGGAATCGAAGAAATCCTGCGGGTCATGTTGCAGACAGGAGGACTTATCCTGGATGCCATCGTGGGCGGCCGGTCCGTGGACTTTGCCGCAGACATTGCCACGAAGCTTGTCGAGTCCTTCAAAGACGAGTTTGCTTGGATTGGAATCGTCCTCTACGGCCCAGTCATGTTTACCATCGAGACGGCTTTCAAAAGCATTGTCACCTTCTTCATGACAGTCGCAGATGAGGTGTTTCCAGGCCTCAAGACCAAGCTTCAAGACTGTGAGCAGCGTGCTACTCAGTTGCAGCTCACCTGGCGCAGCGCAAAGCTGGGTGCTTGAGTTGCAAAGCGGTGGCCGCATCATGCCGCAACTTTCTTGCTGGTTCGGTTGACGATAGTCGCCGGAAGTTTCAAGATGTTTCAAGTGCATGTTTAATGCCGAGCCTGCCACAAGACGAGGCACAAAGCATGCCGGTGCACCGCAGGAGGCTGCTAGGATAGTTTTGCGCAAAGGCCGTAAGGACACTGGAATGGCCTGGACTGCACTAACAATACGTTGTGTTGCACTGTGGCATTGGGCGGCATATGTTTGGCAAAGTTTGCTTGGATCCTCCTTACCCATGGTACTTCTCGTTTCAACAGCCATGTATGATCAGCTCTGCGTATGTACAAGTGCCCAGCCCGCTGTGCGTATGCTATTTTTGATGCTGTTCCCGTCGGCGGTAGGGGAATTTAGTTCCCTTTGCCTGCGGGAGTTCGTGCATCATACATGCCTGGCCGAATGAAGGCCTCAGAGCATACACATTCAGTGTTTTGAGCTGGCGCAGCCACAAAGTAGCGAGGGTTGGGCAAGGTGATCTTGAAGTGTCGGCAGACGCCCCCCATATTTCAGCGTGAACAACAGACAGCGAAGCCGTACTGACTCCAGTCAACAGGTTGGCTGTTGTCTTTAGCAGGAATTCCCGATCCCGAACTTCTCCATGCCACGCTATGCGACGCTCGTGCTGCTGGGACGCCTTGGAATTATGTTAGCCGGGAGGTTTGAGCTTCAGAGGTGCGGTTACCGAACAGCTAACCAAGTGCTTTTGCGCACTGCAGTGTGCCTGTGTTGGCGTAACGTTCATGTCGCTTCGAAAACGGTGAGGAGGCCATCCTTTGATGTATTTTCTTCGTACACTGGGGCGGCTTGCGCGATCGCCAGGTGCAGTATGTCGAGCTCCACACATTGGACTGACCTTCCTTAGATGATCCGCTCCCCTTCAAGTCCAGAAGTGGCAGCTTTAACTCTAGCCGCTTTCATGGACCGGGCACCGGACTGTCATTGCTTGCGTCACTTCCTTGCGATGCATTGTATATAGGCTGGTGCTGGAGCACCAGCAACCTGCGGTCCGGAATGGATTGGAAAAGCATGCGGGTTGATCGTGCCGGGGCCGCGAGCCCCAGCCCCACCCCAGAAGATCACTTTGCAAAGAAAGAGAATTGCAGCGGGTTCAGCTCCCGGCTTCCAGTTCGACATCTCAGAGCGGGTACTTCACGGCAGCTTGATTCTGGATGCGATGCGAGGCGCACCGGCAACCGCAAGTATAGACACGTGGGAAGTCAGTTTCTCCACCTGTAGTCGCCATGACACCCTCCGGGCGTCCGGCCTTCTGCCGCCATGGTCGACGGGCAGCAGCGGCTCGTTTGGCAGCGCTTGCCATTCTGGGAGCTACGGCCTTTTGTGGCAGTCGCTTGCAAGAGCAGGTGCTGCTACTAGTAGCTTGCAAGAGGGGGCAGGGAGCAAAGGCGTTTGAAAGAAGACCTTCCCATTTCGTTCAGGCTCGGCTGGTTCCGGTTCGGCGAGCTTCCGTGGACACTGACGGAGCGGCGTCCCATTGTGGCTGTCCTTTGGGGGAGGCGGTTGTCACTTGTGCCGCGCAGGAGATTCCGGATCCTTCCAGGAAGGAGATTTGGTCCGCGTGGAGAGTGACGCAATCGAGGAGGCTTAAAGGGGTTCTCAATAGAGAGGGACGGGTTGCTGCACGAAGAAGGGCATGTAATTTGAGAGACTTCCGCTGGTGCAGAAGTTGCAGGTAGCGCTGGCCTTGGTGGTGGCGCGCCAGTGACATTTCTGCTTCGTCCAGCCTCTGGAGCAGACTGCGGAGGGCTCCCGCCGAAGCCCGAGCTAGAGTTTATTAGAGCTTGTGAAGCGGCTTCGCGTGGCAGAGCAGGCTGGATCACATCGGAGGATTCCGAGCTGCTTCAGGCGCAGGATTCCACTCGCATCCACCCACACTGATCCTGCATCGCATTTGCCCCAGGTGCCATCCGAAGACCTCCGGCGCTGTGCTGCAGAACCTTGCGAGGCCTGAAAGAATCTGCTCCACCCTTCACACGGAGAGTGCTCTCCGCAGGATGGGGATGGCGATGGCGGCTGGAGGCTGTTGTCTCCGGAGACTTAGTGCAGTTGCTGAATTATGTGCTCAGTTTACTCATTGCGTCTCCGCCCCGCTCGGAGCGGATGACGGATCTCGGGCCGTTTTGCCCGGAACGGAAAGCTCTAGGCGGAGCTGGGCTGCTGAAGGCAAGGCCCAAAGTGTGGCCTCGGCTTCCATGGGGTGCCCGTCGGGGTGCACTCGAGACCCTTCGCGATACTACAAAGTGCTTCGAGAGCTGCCTGCTGACGTCTCATGAGCACTAACACGCCGCACATGTTGTGAGGGTCTCCAATTGCTTTTAGGACGTGCTGGGCATGCTGGCTCAAGATGAGAATGTAGGCGGTGTTTGCCATCTCTCAAACTGCCTTTAGAGCCGGGTGAGTCGTAAGTGCAGCTTGACATGTTAGCCACCAGACTGGAGAAATTCCAACCGGGATCTCGAACACGGAGCCACAAAACTTGAGGTATCCCAACCGGGATCTTGACCACGAAGTCGCAAAACTTGAGGTACCCCAACGTGGATCTTGACCACAAAGCCACAAAACTTGAGATGTCCCAGCCGGGATCTTGACCACGGAGTCACGAAACTTGAGGTATCCCAACCGGGATCTTGGCCACGATGCCACAAAACTCGAGATATCCCAACCGGGATCTTGAGCACGAAGCCACAAAACTTGAGGTATCCCATTCAGTATCTTGACCACGAAGCCACAAAACTTGAGATATCCCAACCGGGATCTTGACCACGAAACCTCAAAACTTTAAGCGTTCCATCCGGGATCTTGAACACGAAGCCACAAAACGCGAGGTATCCCAACCGGGATCTTGACTGCCAGGTTGCAAAACTTGAGAGATCCCAACCGGGATCTTGACCTAGAAACCTCAAAATCTGAGGTATCCCAACTGGCCCCAACTGGGATCTTAACGACGAAGCCACTAGACTGGAGGTATACCATCCGGGATCTCGACCACGAAGCCACAATTTTCAGGAATCCCAACCGGTATCTTGACTGCGAAGCCACAAAACTTGAGGTCCCCAACCGGGATATTGACCACGAAGCCACAATACTCGAGGTATCCCAAGTCGGATCTTGGATGCGACGCCACAAAACTTGAGGTGTCCCAGCCGGGATCTTGACCACGAAGCCACGAAACTTGAGATATTACATCTTGACGACGAAGCCACAAAACTAGAGGTATCCCATCCGCGACCTTGACCACGAAATCTCAAAACTTTAAGTGTCCGAACCGGGGTCTTGACCACGAAATCACTAAACTTGAGATATCCCAGTTGATTTCTTGCCCACCATACCTCAAAATTGAGGTATCTCGGCCGGGATCTTGACCACGAAGCCGCACAACTTGAGAAATCCGATTCGGGGTCTTGACCACGAAGCCAAACGCCAGATATCCCGACCGGGATCTTGACCACCAAGCCACCAAACTTAAGGTATCCCGACCGGTATCTCGACAATGCCAGCCGGGATCTTGACGACGACGCCACAAAACTTGAGCTACCCCAACCGGGATCTTGACCACGAATTCTAAACCAGGGTCTTGACTACGAAGCCACCAAACTTGAGGTATCCCAACCAGGAGCTTGAACACAAAGCCACAAAATTTGAGGTATCCCAACCGGGATCTTGACCGCGAAATATCCCAACCGGCATCTTGCCCATGACGCCCCAAAACTTGAGGTACCCAATCCGGCATCTTCACGAAGCCACAAACTTGAGATATCCCAACCGGCATCTTGGCCACGAAACCTCAAAACTTGAGGCGTTCCAACCGGGAATGTGGCTACGAAGCCACGAAACTTGAGGTATCCCAGCCGGCATCTTGACCACGAAGCCACCAAACTTGAGGTATCCCAACCGTATTACAACCGGGGTTTTGACCGCGAAGCCACAAAACTTGAGGTATCCCAACCGGGATCTTGGCCACGATGCCACAAAACTTGAGGTATCCCAACCGGCATCTTGACCACGAAGCCACCAGACTTCAGGTATCCCATCCGGTATCTTGACCGCGAAGCCACAAAACTTGAGGTACCCCACCGGGGATCTTGACCAAGAAAACTCAAAACTTTAAGCGTCCGAACCGGGTCTGGACCACGAAGTTTGAGGTATCTCAATCGAGATCTTGCCCACGAGACCTCGAAACTTGAGGAATCCCAACCAGGATCTTGGCCACGAAGCCACAAAACTTGAGGTATCACGACTGGGGTCTTGATCACGAAGCCACCAAACTTGAGTTATCCCAAGCGGGATCTTAATCACGATGCCACGTGAGGTATCCCAACTGGGATCATGCCCACGAAGCCACAAACCTGAGGTGTCCGAACCGGGGTCTTGCCTACGAAGCCACGAGATTTGAGGCATCACATCCGGGATCTTGACCAAGAAGCCACAAAACTTCAGGTATCGCAACCGGGACATTATTGATCACGAAGCCACCAAACTTGAGGTATCCCAACCGGGATCTTGACCACGAGGTCGCGAAACTTGAGGTATGCCAATCTTGGCCACGAAGCCGCAAAACTTCAGGTATCCCAACCGGGATCTTGTCCACCAAGCCACCAAATTACAGGTATCCCAACCGGGATCTTGACCACCCAAAACTTGAGGTATCCCAACCGGGATCTTATCCCATTCGCGATCATGACCACGAAACCTCAAAACTTGAGGTATTCCAACCAAGGTCTTGACTACGAGGCCACAAAATCTGAGGTATCTCAACCGGGGTTTTGACGGAACCTCACAACTTGAGGTATTCCAACTGGGATCTTGATCAGGAAACCTCAAAACTTGAGAAACCTTCTCCTTTTTTTGGCACGAAGCCACGTTGAGGAATCCCAGCCGGGATCTTGAATACGAAACCTCAAAACTTGAGGTATCCCAGCGGGGATCTTGACCTGAATATAACGGCTCTTATCTTAAGGTATCCCCCGAGATCTTGACTACCAAACCTCAACACTTGAGCTATCCCATCCGGGATCTTGACCACGAAGCCACCAAATTTCAAGTATCACAACTGGGATCCTGACCACGAAGCCACAAAACTTGAGGTATCCCATCCGGTATCTTGACCACGAAGCCACAAAACTTGAGGTGTTCCAACCGGGATCTTGGCCACGAAGCCACAAAACTTGAGGTATCCCAACCGCAATCTTGGCTATGAAGCCACAAAGCTTGAGGTACGGGTGTCCCAACCAGGGTCTTACCACGAAACCACCAAACTTGAGGTATCCCAACCGGGATCTCGACCACGAAGCGACAAAACGTCACAAACCTTGAGGTATCCCAACTGGGATCTTGACCACGAAGCCACAAAACTTTGAGGTATCCCAACCGTCATCTTGACTGCAACGCGCCACGAAACTTGAAGGTATGCCGACTGGGATCTTGACCACGAAGCCTCAAAGCCTGAGGAATGGTAACCGGGATCTGGAGCACGAAGCCACAAAACTTGAGGTATCACAACCAGGATCTTGACCACGAAGCCATCAAACTTGAAGTATCTCAATCTCAACTGGGATCTTGAGCACGAAGCCACAAAACTTGAGATATCCCACTGGGTATCTTGACCACGAAGCCACAAAACTTGAGCTATCCCAACCACGATCTTTTTCACGAAGCCACAAAACTTGAGGTATCCAAACCGGGCTTTTGGCCACGAAAGCACAAAATTTGAGGAATCGCAACCGAGATCTTGGTCACGAAGCCACAAAACCTGGAGGTATACCGACCGTGATCTTGGCCAGACAACGAAGGCAAGAAACTGCAAGTATCCCGATCTTCGCCACGAAGCCACAAAACTTGAGGCATCCCAACCGGGATCTTGACTGCGAAGCCACAAAACTTGAGGTATCCCAATCGTGATCTTGTCCACCAAGCCGCGAAACTTGAGATAGTCTAACCGGGATCTTGACCACGGAGCTACAAAACTTGCATCTGGGCCACGAAACCTCAAATCTTGAGGCGTTCCAACCGGGAATGTGGCTACGAAGCCACGAAACTTGAGGTATCCCAGCCGGCATCTTGACCACGAAGCCACAAAACTTGAGGTATCCCAACCGGGATCTTGACCACAAAACCTCAAAACTTTAAGTGTCCGAACCGGGGTCTTGACCACAAAGCCCCAAAACTTGAGGTACCCCAACCGGGATCTTGAGCACGAAGCCACAAAACTTGAGGTATTTCAACGGAATGTTGGCCGCAAAACGCCACAATTTTTGCGGTATCCCAACCGGGATCTTGCGCACGAAGCCACAAAACTTGCGATACCCCAACCGGGATCTTGAAAAATAAAAACTCAAACCTTATAGATATCCCAACCGGGATCTTGGCCACGATGCCACAAAACTTGAGGTACCCCATCGGGGATCTTGACCAAGAAAACTCAAACTTTGAGTGTCCGGACCGGGTCTTGACCACGAAATTTGAGGTATCACAGTCGGCATCTTGCCCGCGAGACCTCGAAACTTGAGGTATCCCAACCGGGATCATGACCACGAAGCCACAGAACTTGAGGTATCACAACTGGGTTCTTGACCACGAAGCCACCAAACTTGAAGTATCCCAACCGGGATCTTCATCACGAAGCCATAAGTAGCCAGAAACCTTGTGGTATCCCAACCGGGATCTTGACAACGAAGCCACAAAACTTGAGGTATCCCAACGGAATCTTGGCCACAAAACACCACAAAACTTGCGGTATCCCAACCGGGATCTTGATCACGAAGCCACAAAGCTTGAGATATACAAAAGCCAGGGTTTTGACCCTCAAAACTTGAGGTATCCCAACCGGGATCTTCACCCAAAGCCACAACACTTGGGGTATCTCAGACGGGATCTTCACTACGATCCCACAAAACTTGAAGCATCACAACTGGGATCTTGACCACGAAGCCTTAAAGCTTGAGGTATCCCAACAGCCGGGATCTTGACCACGAATCCTCAGAACTTGAGGTATCCCCACTGGGATCTTGACCACGAAGCCACAAAACTTGAGGTATCCTGACC